AGGGCTCAAGAGGGCCCAGGAGCGGCTCGAAAGAGCCCCGGGAAGGCTCCGAGAGGGACCTGGCACCCGGCACGTTGAGGGTCCGCATGGGGCCGCCCACAGAGCCTTCCTGGAGTCCTTCTGGGCTCGCTTGGGGCTCTCTCCGAGCGTTCGCTGGAGCGCCAGGAATGCTCCAGACAGCCCAGGAGCGGCCCGACAGAGGTCCAGGAATGCTTTGTTTTGTTGCCATCATCAGGGTGTAAGTGTCCAGCTGGTAGGGCTGGGATGATGTAAGATAGTTCATATAGTTCATAGTGGCTGTAGGTGAGGAATAAGCCGCCTCTCAAATGCAACCGTTTTTTCCGCCAGTGTTCAGGAGATGCATGCACTTCTCGATTTGTACCTGGCGGAAAATTCGGTTACATTGGAGGGGCGTTTTATTCTTCACTTACAACCGTTATGAGTTATTCTACATAATCCTAGCCCGACCAGCTGGACGCTTGCATCCAAGTGGCCCAACTGACCCCAACTGGTGCAATCGATTAGCGGCCCAAATTTGCGCTTGCACTGTAATGGCGGGACAATGCAACGCGCAGAAGGATACCTCCAGGTGCGGTTGGATCTCCTCTGATGCGAAGGTGCGCGTCGTCTTCGCAGTCGACCTGCGCGCGGGCTCAATGGCCGGCGCCTCGGGAAGCCCAGGTTCCACCGATAAACCGCGAAGGCAGGCGGGCTTCTGAGACAGGCCGGGGTTTCAGAGGCTTCGAGGAAGGCGCCCCCGCGGGCAGGCAGACTTCCCAGAACCCCGAGTTCTCCGACGCGCCCCCGAAGGTAGTTTTTTTTTTTTTTTGCCGAGCCTCACATCCGCAGCATCCTTGCCGAGCTCGAAAGCGCGCTCCGCGCGAAGCCGGGCAACCTTATCGAAGTTCTGGGGGGCGCACTGAGGTCCCAGGTTTCGCTAGACAACCCCCCGCCCGCCCCCCCCCCGCCCCCCATTCGCCCCCCCCCCCCCATCCCGCCCATCATCGCGGCCACCATCATTCAATCCCCCCCCCTGTCCCCCAGTTCCCCCGCCCGCTTCGGGGGCGAGGGTGCGCGGGCAGAGGGAGGAATCGGCATCGCCCTGCGCGGGCGCCTCTCCGAACCGCGCGAGCGACTCCGCATCGAGCTTCTCCGGCGACTTGGCGCGCCCCAGCATCTCCGCCGACGGCGCCCGGGCGTGGGCCCGGTGCCGAAATGGCCCCGGAGAATGGCCCGCCTTCTGGCCCTCTTGCCCTGAAGTAACCTCTAGCTAATTAGGCAATTCGCTAAATTAGCTTCGAGGTAATTAGCTAATTAGCTAAACTAGCGTCGAGCCAATTCGAGCTAATTGAAGCTAATAAGAGCTAATAAGAGCTAATTAGCTAACTTAGCTAAATTAGCTAACTCAGCTCTGCTTAGCTTTTAATAGCTCTTACTAGCTTCTAGTAGCTCGTATCAGCTCGAAACACATTGAGCAGCACACTACTGCTACTACTACTACTACTACTACTACTACTATTACTACTACTACTACTACGACTACGACTACTACTACGACTACTACTACTACGACTACGACTACGACCTACTACTACTACTACTACTACTACTACTACTACTAGTACTACGACTACTACCAATACTACTACTACTACTAGTACTACTACTGCGACGACTACTACTACTACTACTACTACTACTATCACGGACTACTACTACTACTACTACTACTACTACTACTATTTCTACCACTACTACTACTACTACTACTACTACTACTACTACTACTACTACTACTACGACTACGACTACGACTACTACTACTACTACTACTACTACTACTACTACTACTACCAATACTACTACTACTACTACTGCGACGACTACTACTACTACTACTACTATCACGGACTACTACTACTGCTACTACTACTACTACTACTAATACTACTACTACTACTACTACTATTTCTACCACTACTACTACTACTACTACTACTACTACTACTACTACTACTACTACTACTACGACTACGACTACGACTACGACTACTACTACTACTACTACTACTACTACTACTACTACTACCCCTCCTCCTGCCCGACGCCGAGCGAGCTGCAGTCGATCCGCCGATCGAAGGTCCACGCCTTCTGGCCCTCTTGCCCTGAAGTAACCTCTAGCTAATTAGGCAATTCGCTAAATTAGCTTCGAGGTAATTAGCTAATTAGCTAAACTAGCGTCGAGCCAATTCGAGCTAATTGAAGCTAATAAGAGCTAATAAGAGCTAATTAGCTAACTTAACTAAATTAGCTAACTCAGCTCTTCTTAGCTTCTATTAGCTCTTACTAGCTTCTAGTAGCTCGTATCAGCTCGAAACACATTGAGCAGCACACTACTGCTACTACTACTACTACTACTACTACTACTACTACTACTAGTACTACTACTACTACTACTACTACTACTACTACTACGACTACGACTACTACTACGACTACTACTACTACGACTACGACTACGACCTACTACTACTACTACTACTACTACTACTACGACTACTACTACTACTACTACTACTACTACTACTGCGACGACTACTACTACTACTACTACTACTACTATCACGGACTACTACTACTACTACTACTACTACTACTACTACTACTACTACTACTACTACTACTACTACTACTACACTACTACTACTACTACTACTACTACTACGACTACTACTACTACTACTACTACTACTACTACTACTACTACTACTACTACTACTACTACTACTACTACTACTACTACTACTACTACTACTACTACTACGACTACTACTACTACTACTACTACTACTACTACTACTACTACTACTACTACTACTACTACTACTACTACTACTACTACTACTACTACTACTACTACTACTACTACTACTACTACTACTACTACTACTACTACTACTACTACTACTACGACTACTACTACTACTACTACTACTACTACTACTACTACTACTACTACTACTACTACTACTACTACTACTACTACTACTACTACTACTACCCCTCCTCCTGCCCGACGCCGAGCGAGTTGCAGTCGATCCGCCGATCGAAGGTCCACGCCAGTGTTCCCCCCGCGGTTCCAGCCAGGCTGTCGACTCTCGGCGCAGCCTCGGGGCGGCCGCAGCTTCTTGCTCCGATCTGCTGCGCGCCATCTCTGCGCGCTCGGATCGGCAGCCTGAAGTTCCTTCTGAGCGCGCGCGTTCGCCAAGCTCCCTGTGCAATCGCTCCAGCCTTCACGTCAGATCCGGTCTGCTCCCCGCCGAAGTCGCGCTGCGGCTCGGCGAGGCTGCTCTCTGGGTCCCTGCCGCCAGCCTTCACCCCGCGCTCACAGAGTTTTCTCGTCGGTCCGGAGCGCGCGCGGGGGCGCTCCGCATTGCGGCATGGCGACCGTCTGCTCTGGCGCTGCCATCAGCGGCCGTGCGCGCCTCCTCGACGCTGCGCGCGTCTGCACCTCGTCCGAAAGCGCCTCGCGGCCCGCGGCGTGCTTGCACTGCTTGGCGTCAGCTTGGCCGCCCGTCTTGCCAACGCGTTTTCGCGGGCCTCCGACTTGACCCGAGACGATGCGCGAGGGCCTAGCAGTGTGCAGTCGTGCCCCCGAGCCCCCGCACGCTCCCGCGATCAGCTCCTGGGACCCGCGAGGCTCTCGAGCGTGCGTGGCGTTCAGGGTATTTTTTGTCAGCCTGAGTAATGCCAGGGCGGCCGGCCGACCCTCTGGACTCGGTCAGTCTGTCTAGTGCTGTACTCAATCTGCGAGCCTGTCCTCTCTCGCCGGAGGAGCATTTGACGGTTCCCTGATATGTGTTGCTGACCCTCGAACTCGTCCTTCACAGCGAGGCTTCCGCAGCAGAATCCGAGCCCGAACCCTCGCCTCCCATCGATTCAGGAGAATCGATGGTTGGTGCGGGTAGGCTTCGGATGTCGCCACCCAAGGCTGGTGCCACGGATGGCTTCCGTGCCCGCGGCCCTGCCGCAGCTTGCCGTCGAGCTCGCCGTCCCGACTGGGGGCCCGCACGCGGAAACCGTGCTCCTCGGGGCCGTGCCGAGCGCAGGTGCCCATGCCCCTGTTCGGAAGCCGGGCAAGGGCTGCTAAATCCGTGGCTGCTGAAATCGACCTACGGGAAGTCATCTTCGTCCTTCCGGGAAGTCGCCCGTTGATTGTTTCGCGTGCCGCGCCTCATTCTGGGAAATTGTTTTTTCTTTCCGGGAGGGCCGTTTTAGCAGCCACGGTTTTCGCAGCCCTCGCCCGGTTTCCTACCTGCGCGCCTCGCCGCCGTCGCCAGCGGGCGCCCCGGCGCAGCTCGGGCGCGGCGCGGCGCCCACCGGCCGGCCGCCCGCGCCCGCGCAAGGCCCGCAGCGGCCGCCCCCGTGCCCCGCGGCGCCAACGCGCCGTGCCGCCCCCGCGGAGCCGAGCCGTGGGATGGCGCCGCGCGCGGCGAGCGGTGCAGTCGCGGGCCGGCCCTTCCCGCGCCGCGGAGGTCCTCCTCGCGCCGGCCCGCGGGCCTCGCGGGCGGCGCGCGGGCGGGGAGGCCGCAGGCCCGCTGCCCGCCGGCAGTGCCGCGCTGGGCCCTGGGTCCGTGGGTCGCTCGTGCCGCCAGGGCCAGGTGGAGGAGGAGGGCGCAGGGAGGGGGAGGGGGACGGGCAGGGAGAGGGGGGAAGGGAGGAGGAGGAGGAGGAGGAGGCGGAGGAGGAGGAACAAGAGGGAGGAGGAGGAGGCGGAGGAGGAGGAGGCAGGAGGCAGGAGGCAGGAGGCAGGAGGCAGGAGGAGGAGGAGGGGAAGTGGAGCAGGAGGAGTGGGAGGAGAAGGAAGGGGGAGGGGGAAAAGGCAGGGAGGAGGCAGGGAAAATGCAGGGAGGAGTCAGGAAGGAGGCAGGGAGGAGGAGGAGGAGGAGGAGGAGGAGGAGGAGGAGCCGCAATGCGTGGGGGCTGTCCCGCCCGTCCAGGCAGCTGCAATCGCTCCGTGGTTCTTCGCAGGCGTCGGACAAGCCCGGCGGAACCCTCGGGGAGGTGCCACAGGGGGCCCGAGAGGAAGAGGACGTGGAAAAGGAGGAGGAGGAGGAGGAGGAGGAGAAGGAGGATCAGCCCCGCGATTCATGCCTGAGCCCCCCAATCCCCTGGCCTATTTCCGCGGGGGGTCAACCTTCGCGGCGACCCGTTAAATCCGGGTCCCATGGCGGCGCATGAATTTCTTTCTTTCCTCCGCGCGCGAGTTGCTATTGGAACCCCTGAACCCCTTCGACTAACTTACAGTGCAACTAGTATGTGAGTACGACTGGCACTATCGTGTACTAGCGCGCAGTTGCTCCGAGAGAGCACATTATCCTGCCGTGCAAGTATTAAAGTGCAACTGGTATCATATTACAACCGGTAGAACTGCGCGCTCTAGTACAACTCCCTAGTGCCAATTCTTTCTACTAGTGCAACTCCCTGGTACAACTCCCTAATACAACTCCCTGGTATAACTGTCTAGCACAAATAGTACCAGTACAACTTGTTATGCAATTCCCGAGTGCTAGTATAACTCGCTAGTACAAGTCCCTACGTAGTACAAATCCCAGGTACAACTCCCTAGTAATTATACAATGTATAAAAAAACCGTAGTGCAACCTAGTGATCGAATGTAGTAGCACAACTCCTCAGTGAGACTGCCTAGTACAATTCCCGAGTACAAGCAGTATTCGTACAATTCCTTAGTACAACTCCCTAGTACAATCTGGGCTCTCACGCTTTTCCTCCTCTGGTTGCGCAGGGGGGGGGGGGGGCTCGCACAGGTACCCCCGCGGCTGAGAATTCATTCCTCTTCCAGAATTTGAGGCGGGGGTAACCCCCGTGCTTGAAGCCCTCGCCAGGGATTAGTTTCTTTCCTCCGCGGAAGCCGGACCCCCTGGGTTCCTGGGCGCGCCCCAGAAGTTCTTCCTTTTCGGATGGGCCCCCATGGGTCCTTCGTTGGAGTCGCGAAGCTGATGAAGGAGGAGGAGGAGGAGGAGTGTAAGCCCAAGGCTCACCGCCGAATTTTGAATAAACCCTCTTCATAAGCGGCTACAAGGATTCATTCCCACTGAGGGAAGGTCGGGTTGGGAGACAACCTCTTGAAGATCCTGAGGCGTGCCAAGACACCATTCTCAGGGTTTCATCGCCACGAGTCCATCTGGCTGTTGCGCCTGGACGGTCCTGACTCGTGCCAGAACATCATTCCCGGAATGTCAATTGAGGATCAACGATCAACGTAATTGTTGCGCTTTGACAATCTTGAATCATTCCAAAACGCCGTTTCTGGTATGTTAACCGGCGACGGGTAGGGTAATTTTGTAAAATGAATGTGCGCGGCGCTAGGGTGAGAGCAACGCTTTGAAGGTACCGCCCTCAAGCCGTTAAATTCGTGCAATCTCTTTAAGACGAATGGGCGCGGCGCTCTTGGGCGAGAGCCACATTTTGAAGAGGAACCGCCCTCAAACCGAGATATTCATTGCATTTTAAGGTTTAAGACGAGTGTGTGCGGCGCTATGGCAAGAGCAATATTTTGGAAGCGGCCCGCCCTGCATCTGCGAAGCTGTTGCCAATTTTTTAGTTGCCGTTTTTTTTGGTGAGGAGTTCAGGCGAAGCGCACCAGCCGCCCCTTCGACTGGCCTCGGAGTGCGACAGGGAGGAGTTATCTTAAGGAGAAGGAAGGGAGGGTAGTAAGGAGAAAGATTCGGGAGGAGGAGGGGGGATATTTGGGGGAAAGAGGATGAGGATGTTGATGCGGATGAGGATGAGGATGAGGACCAGGACGAGGATGATGATGATGATGGTGATGATGATGAAGATGATGATGATTATTACGATAATGATGATGCTGACGATGGTGATGATGTTTTCAATGATAATGACGATGATGATTACAATGATGATGATGCTGTAGATGATGATGATGATGATGATGATGATGATGATGATGATGATGATGATAATGAAGATGAAGATGACGATGATGGCGCTGATGATGATGGTGATGCTGCTAATGCTGATAACGATGGCGATGATGATGACGACGATGATGACGATACTGATGATGATTATTATCATGCTGATGCTGGTGATGGCGATGATGATGATGATGATGATGATGATGATGCAGATTATGATGATGATGGTCGTGGTTGTGGTGAGGACGACGACGCTGATGCTGATGATGCTGATGATGACGTTGGTGATGGTGTTGGTGGTGATGCTGATGATGACGACGATGACGATGACGATGATACTGCTGATGATGCTGATGATGGTGATGATGATGATGCTGACGATGATGATGATGATGATGATGATGATGATGATGATTATGATGAGGATGATGATGATGATGATGATGATGATGATGATGATGATGCTGATGCTGATGCTGATGCTGATGATGATGATGATGATGAGGATGATGAGGATGATGATGATGATGATGATGATGTGGATGAGGATGAGGATGATGAGGATGATGATGATGATGAGGAGGATGAGGATGAGGATGATGATGATGATGGTGATGATGATGATTATGATTATGATGATGATGATGCTGATGATGATGATGATGATGATGATGGTGTTGATGTTGATGATGTCGCTGTTGTTGATGATGATGATGAGGATGCTGCTGATGATGATGCTGGTGATGATGGTGATGCTGCTGATGCTGATGCTGCTGCTGATGATACTGATCATGATGACGATGATGGTGCTGATGATGATGATGATGATGATGATGATGATGATGATGATGATGATGATGATGATGATGATGATGATGATGATGATGCTGATGATGATGATGATGATGATGATGATGATGATGATGATGATGATGATGATGATGATGATGATGATGATGATGATGATGATGATGATGATGATGCTGATGCTGATGATGATGTGATGATGAGGATGATGAGGATGATGATGATGATGATGATGTGGATGAGGATGAGGATGATGAGGATGATGATGATGATGAGGAGGATGAGGATGAGGATGATGATGATGATGGTGATGATGATGATTATGATTATGATGATGATGATGATGCTGATGATGATGATGATGATGATGATGGTGTTGATGTTGATGATGTCGCTGTTGTTGATGATGATGATGATGAGAATGCTGCTGATGATGATGCTGGTGATGATGGTGATGCTGCTGATGCTGATGCTGCTGCTGATGATACTGATCATGATGACGATGATGGTGCTGATGATGATGATGATGATGATGATGATGATGATGATGATGATGATGATGATGATGATGATGATGATGATGATGATGCTGATGATGATGATGATGATGATGATGATGATGATGATGATGATGTGGATGTTGCTGATTCCACTGCTGCTGCTGGTGGCGATGATGGTGATGATGCTGATGATGAGTACGATGATGATGATAAAGGTGCTGATGGTGATGATGATGATGATGATGAGGAGGAGGAGGAGGAGGATGATAATGATGAGGATGACGATGACGATGAGGATGATAATGATGGTGATGGTGATGGCGATGATGAGACGGCGGAGGATTAGGCGTAGGAGACAGGGGAGGAGGAGAGGAGGAGGAAGAGGAGGAGAAGGAGGAAGAGGAGGAAGAGGAGGAGGAGGAGGCGGAGGAGGAGGAGGAAGAGGAAAGGAAGAGGAGGAGGAGGAGGAGGAGGAGGAGGAGGAGAGGAGGAGAGGAGGAGGAGGAGAGGAGGAGGAGGAGGAGGAGGAGGAGGAGGAGGAGGAGGAGGAGGAGGAGGAGGAGGAGGAGGGGAGCATGATGAGGCGGAGGCAGAGGCGGAGGTGGAGGCGAGGTGCAGGAGGAGGGAAGAGAAGGAAGAGGCGCAGGCAGGAGGAGGAGGAGGAGGAGGAGGAGAGAGGAGGAGGAGGAGTACAAGCACATGGAGGAGCAGACGGGGAGGTGAGGAAGGGAGGAGCAGGCAGGGAAGGGGCGGAATAAGGAGGAGAAGGAGGAGGAGGCAGAGGAAGCGGAGGCGCAGGCGTAGGAGGAGGAGGAGGAGGAGGAGGAGGAAAAAGGAGGTGGAGGAGAAGGAGGAGGAGGAGGAGGAGGAAGAGCAGGAGGCGGAGGCGGATGCGGAGGAGGAGGAGGCGGAGGAGGAGGAGGAGGAACAGGAGGGAGGAGGAGGAGGAGGAGGAGGAGGAGGAGAACAAACAGGAAATGGAGGAGCATATTGGGAGGTGAGGAAGGGAGGAGCAGGCAGGGAAGGGTAGAAAGGAGGAGGAGGAAGGTGAGGAGGGGGAGGCAGAGGAGTTGGAGGAGGAGGGAGTGACGAGGAGGTGCGGGAGAGAAGATTCCATGACGAGGCTGAGGATCTGCAGCAGCAGCAGCAGTGTTTAATTTGAACCTGGGATAGAGCATAGTGGTGCATCCTCTTTTTTCGCGTTGAGTCCATCACGTTGCTGCGCAGCCTGGTGGTGGAGGAGGATGGGAGGGAGGGAGGAGGAGGAGGATGAGGAGGAGGAGGAGGAGGAGGAGGAGGAGGAGGAAGAGGGGAAGGATGAGGCGGGAGAGGGGACTTTAAGGGAAACTGTTCTGAGGTTGCAGGTTGTTATGCTTCCGCTGCCGTGTGGGCTGGGGTGCCGAAGGCACGCGCGGCCTACATCCCACACACACACACACTTACTGTATATTCTATCGGCGAGGCAGAGCTTTGCTCAACATCTCTCGCATCTACATCCAATCGCATAGATGATGACCCAGGAACTATGTTTCGACTTGTTAGTGGAGCTGCCTACTCAGGCTGGCTCCTGCCCTCTGTTTCTTCTGCGGCGGAACGCGATGTGTCACCGACCACACCTACCCTGCGCCAGCACTCCAACGGTATCGTCGAGGGCATGTCTTACTTGACCTCGGAAATGCGCTGGTGAGGCTGGCCACAAAGGCCAACCGCCAGGAAACAAACTGCTGCCAGCTCGCAGTGGCTTGCCATTCAGTACCAGTTTACTGTATGTCAGCACACTTCGGCGACCTGAAGG